GATGCTGAAAATTCAGCTTTGCATCAAAGGAATAAATTACATTTTGAAATATATTCTAAGAGAAAACAGTTATTTTAAATTATAATAATATTTCACAATATTTGTCAGCATAAAATGATTTTTCAGAAAACATTCAAAAATATTAACACACCCAAACTTATACAAAATATAGACAATATATTTATAATAATAATACTTTTCAAATATGTGTTTACTGGAAGAACTCCTTGAGTGCCAGTAAGTATACTCCCCCCCTCAAGAATGAATCAGTGTATATTTGAATATTTGCACTCAATAATGCTCTCACAGATTCAGTTTCTACCATGCAGAAAAGAACATTGTCAATAACCTTCCTGTGTTTTGCTTTCTAGCTGACATCACATGTCCTAGTGAAAGAGCTAAAATGTGTCCAGGTTTTCTGCTTGAGCACACCAGCACTAAGGAACAGCAGAAGAGCGATCAAATGACACGGATGTCGACACATGGAGTGGCAAGCATGAAGAGACATTCATTACCATCCAAGGACCCCAGAGAAAGGCAGTCCTAACTAATCGCCAGACCTGGGCCAGGCATGAAGAGCACTGACCCACTTCACACTTCCAGTATATCTAAATACATATTTTTCACACTTGAGCAGCAGCGAGCGGGCGATTCCATACTTAACCTTCACTGCAGAGCCATGAAGGACATCTTTTGGATGCTCACAACCCAAATATAGACATTTTTAAACATACTATCTATGGTTACTGCTTTGCTGTATTGTTCAACATGGAATACTAGCTTACTGCATACTGCGCAGTATATACTAATATTTGGGTGGTCTATATCGTGTTTTACTCCATTGTAACCACATGTTTTGAGAGCATTTAGTCTTAGTTCATCTTCAGATATAATTCAGCTGGCTTTAAGGTTATGTCGAGCTGAAATTAGACAAATATTGTGAATTTACATACTGTATCCAAGGATGCAGGCTGATGTTAATGATTCTAGATGTTCTCCACAATAAATGTCTATTAGCTGCTAACCTCAAACAGACACTGAGGGATGTGCTCCCAAAGAGACAAACAGAAGAGCAACTGGAAATGATCTATTTGAGTAAATTGAAGCTGGTATATATGCAAATGACTCCATTTTCTGAAGACATAAAGAAGATGATTGAGTTATCCATGACGAATGGGGATGCTCCAACATTGCTATCACAGGCCACTGTCAAAATGTTAATCAGGCTTATTACCAACTTTATTCCCATTCTTCTATTTTCAAATTCATAATTACACTCTGATTAGGTCATAAGGGATAAATGGAAAAATAATTGTTAAATTTAGGAGGGAGATCAGATTTGTGGAACTGCAAGATGGTCTTGGAGAACATTGGAGATGGATTTAATGATGAATCATTAAATTGAGATGAATGATATTTTATGTATTATTGTTGTTATTATTATTATTATTTTTGAGGAAGATAAGTGGAGATAGGAATAATAAGCATGGTTGCCAGATTAGTTTGATGTTTTGCAGTTCTTACTTAATGTACAAAAAAATGGAATAATGATCTGAACAATGTGAATAAATTGATGGGTGGGGGGTTGACAATGAAAGGCCTCAGGAAACAGTCCACAAAATACACGCCATATAAAAACGTCTGGATTCACCTGATTGAGTGCATTAATTAATGCCTCCAAGATTACCCTACCATCATTGTTTTTTGTTACTTCAAAAATGTTAATTAAAATAACCCTATTATTATTGACTCATCAATGAGATATGGAAAACATTTCCTATTTAACTCTTAAATTTCAGGGCTTCGTTTTTTGTTGATTTTCTGGAGAAAAGCTGTATCTACCTTTTGAGATTAGACAATATCTCTTAATTAGATTTCCCACAACCATTGACATTCCAGGATACAATAGTAACATGTATTTTAATCACATTTAAAGCAGAAAAGATGTAAGGGAATCATTCTGCTAGAATATACATTTACTAGTCCTGCGACCCTATACAGAAGACAAACGGTTTGGAAAATTAATAGATGGGCATTTACCATGTCATGCAAAAGAAAATATCAGTAACACTTTACTTAAAGTCTTTATGTACAATGCATTATGAAAGTAGTTTTAATGCATTAATTATGCCTTGTAA